CACGGGATGCCTGGCGTGGGGAAGACGATGCTGGCCAAAGAAGTAAAAAGAAAAGCAGAGCAAGACAAGCTGTTCGATGTGGTAGTTATGGCTCTGGTTTCAAAGAATGCAGACTCGGAAAAGATTCAAGTGGAAATTGCCCGTGGTTTGGGTCTAGATCAGCTTCCTAATGGAATTAAAACTCAGGATGCTGCTGAACTTATTAAAAACAGGCTGAAAAATATGAAGAAGGTTTTAATCATTTTGGATGATATTTGGGAGTCTGAAATAGATTTGAAGGGGCTTGGAATTCCTCTTAGAAACGAGCCAAAAAAGACTGAGGGGAGCTCGTCAAGAGAAGAACATGTACAGGGGAGCTCGTCAAGAGAAGAACATGGGCAGGGGAGCTCGTCAAGAGAAGAACATGTACAGGGGAGCTCGTCAAGGGAAGAACATGCAGAGGGGAGCTCGTCAAGAGAAGGACATGCAGAGGGGAGCTCGTCAAGAGAAGGACATGCAGAGGGGAGCTCGTCAAGAGAAGGACATGCAGAGGGGAGCTCGTCAAGAGAAGAACATGTAGAATGCAAAATTCTGCTGACATCCAGAGATTCTAATGTTTTATCAGATCTGACGGGTTCTTCACAGAACTTTTCACTCGATAATTTAGAAGTTGGAGAAGCATGGAACTTGCTTAAAAAGATAGTTGGTGACAGAGCAGAGGGTGATGACATACATCGTACAGCCTTTGATATTGTCCAGGAATGTGGGGGCTTGCCCCTTGCAATTACAACAATGGCAAAGGCTTTGAAAAATAAGAAGCCTTACGAATGGAGGGATGCTTTGAGAAAACTGAGAAAGCCCTCTTCAGAAAACTTCCATGGCATATCTGCAAAGGTTTATTCAGCTATTGAGCTCAGTTACTCTCATTTGGAAAGCGAGAAGCTGCAGGAACTATTTTTGCTTTGCTGCGTAATGGGTCACAAGGCTTCAATTCAAGACTTGTTGAAGTTTGGTGTAGGCTTAGGCTTATTTGCTAACACCATAGAGGAAGCACGAGATGAAGTATTTACTTTGATTAGCAAGCTCCGAGCCTCTTCCTTTCTCATTGATGATTCTGACAATAATTGTTTCGATATGCATGACCTTATTCATGATGTGGCTGTATCAATTACAAGTAGGGATCGTCATGGGTTGCTGCTAACAGGTGATCATGAACCGAAGGAGTGGTCAGACAGGAAGGCGATGAAAGATTTCAAATGGATTAAACTGCTAAATGCTAATATTAATGGGCTTCCTGATGAGTTTGAAAGTCGTCAGCTTTCCTTTTTTTGTTTGGAAAATAATGATCCTTCTCTGAAAATTCCAGCAGACTTTTTCAAGGGAATGCAAGAACTCAAGGTATTGGATTTGACTGAAATGCAGTTTACTTCCCTACCTTCATCAATTTGCCTCCTAAAAGACCTCCATACATTATGTTTTCATAGTTGCTTTTTGGGAGACATAAGTATTATTGGAAAGCTGAAGAATTTAAAAGTTCTGACCATTAGTAGTTCTGATATTAAAGAGCTACCAAGGGAAATTAGGGAGTTGACTCTGCTAAAGTTGTTAGATTTGAGTAACTGCTCCCAACTCAAAATAATTCCCCCATGTGTCTTGGCAAATATGTCCGGATTAGAGGAACTGTACCTGGGAAACAGCTTCGACGGATGGGAGGTTGAGGAAAATGAAAATCAAAGAAATGCGAGCATTGCGGAGTTGAAGGATTTGAAGGACTTAACTACTTTGGAGGTATGCATTCCTGATATTCGGATGATCCCAAAAAATTTGTTCTTTGAAAATTTGAAAAAATTCAAAATATTCATTGGATGTAAGTGGGAAGACCAGTCTAGTTCCTTTGGAAGCTCCAGAATATTGAAGTTGCATTTAAATGCATCCATTAGTTTTAACTATTTAGTTAAAATGTTGTTGAAGATGACTGAAGAGCTACATCTAAGTGAGTTGGCAGGTGTAAAGAATGTGGTTGATGAGTTAAATACTGAAGGTTTTCCAGATTTGAAGTATCTCTATGTCCGTAATGCTCCAGAGGTGCAACATATAGCGGAGGGGGTTCCTTTCAATGCATTTCCTAGATTGGAAGTATTATTTCTCTGGAATTTGAATAATTTGGAGAAGATATTTCAAGGCCGGTTCAAAGACACAGCTTTTAACAATTTAAGAACTATTACCATTGAATGTTGTGATAAGGTAAAGAATTTGTTCTCTTCCTCTATAGCCAGACAGCTTCTCC